GCATATAGTTGCATATTAAGTAATTTTCATAAGGTACAAACTGCAATCAAAATTTATAAATAAATATATAAACATACATACAAATACATATATATAGTATAAAGCACTTTTTATACTGAGCTTCATGCCATTGTTTGCTTACTCGATGTTGTCGCTTTTTTGAAACTTTGGAAAGAGAGCTCTGTTTATGAAAATAGGTGAGAGCACATATACAACACTTACCAATGAGAGTTACACTACTAAGCTACTAACAACGCACGGACATTCTCCTAAATCTTCACCTAACCGCTATAAGCGTGTTAATGTAACAGCTATTTGACCGACTTCATAGCGCATAGGATTAGTAGCTGAGACAGCTGAAAATACTGGAGAACGTCATATTTGGTTTAATGAGATATGGAATCGTAAATATATTAACTAACACAAAGCCTTGCCGACAGCCCGACAAGCCTAATAAGGAATAAAAAATTTTATATGTTAACCGCAATGCCAGAAAATATAAATTTTGAAGGTAAAATAAAGTGAAAAAACACTTTTTGAAGCATTATAATATTGGCATTGTTATTGTACAATAACGTAACGCTTTTACCAATCACTAAGGTGTATCGGATAAATTGAAAATGCAGCCAACCAAATAAAGGATCTAATAAAGATTCCACTGTTACTTTACATTTTATAATTTTGCGCTTCTTTCGCGTAGAAAGAAATTCAATATTAATACAACTGCAGACTAATCAGCTTAAAAGCTTTGCTAAAACAGTGCATGTTTGTGAATGAACAACAATGCTGTTGACTAATGTTGAAAAGTTTGCGAATGTTCATTAAATTGTAGCATAGTTTTAGGCATCAAAATTAAATTCGGAACCTACACAAAATGGGCAGCGAGAGTACAATAAGAGCAGTGAATATCAAGGCAAAGAACGAAAACATCAAAGAAAACCACAAAGTGATTTTGGATGACCGTAAAATTAAGTTTATCCAAATAGCTCACACTGTTAAGTTATCAAAAGGATTTGTTCGATATGTCCAATATCTGATTATTTTGGTGATCAAACTACCAAGAACAGCATCGAATTGCTGACATTTCCAGCTATTCAATAGCAATATATTTGTAATTATTTATTTTTATATCAATATACCTTTGAGTTCAATAAGCAGTCATCCTAGTGAACTATGCCCGATGAACAAAATTCAAAACTTGTAAAGACGAAAAACTCGAAGATAATTTTTCTATTTCATCAAGCCAAAGTCAAGTGTCAAAATTAGTGAAAACCTTGAGAATATTACAAGGATTGGAACTCCACAGTCACAGAATAGTCCGGAACTGGCACCCAGTGACTTTTATTCTATGTTAGGACTATCATAAAATAGTTGTTTAAAATAAATTTTGTAACGATGCATCGGCTATCACCGAAGCAGATCTATATTTTGAAGCCCTAAACCTAAAAACTGATTATTGAAATAGCCGTTTTGTAACCGTTCGTTTGAATATTAACCGATTAATAATCGCAATATTACGCCTATTCGAATAATAGCTCTGCTGGCAGTAGTTGAATAAATGAGAATTGTTTGAAATTCAAGTATCCTCTGCTTTTTGCGAGTTTTAAATATGTAAAAATGCCTGTAACCACACTTTTAATACTCTCGCAATTTTTGACACAAAGTCATGGTATTAAAGGATTTTTTTTTCCATATTTCAATAAAATAACTCACAAATTGACAGATATTTTCAGTAGAAACTCTAAAAGTAAGAACCACCAACGGACTTGAAAAATTATGGTCCGATTTCAACTATTTTAGGACATGAGATAGTATAGGACTAGGGTTGCCACCTTTATATTTCGTAATTTTTCAACCCTAGTCTTGCGATCTGGCAACTCACAACTTGATATCCCATCGCTATTTTTGTTGCTTACAGTAACTTGAAATGTGCATCTCCGCGAAATTTTCGCGCGATTATTTTTTCGAACTTTCAAAGTGGATTAAGTCAGCAAGAGTGCATGGATGAACTTAATTCCGATTTTGACGATAAAGCTCAATCAAGAACCATTCCTTATTCGATGGTATGGTGAATTCAATCGAGGCCGTAGATCACTTCAACATGAATTTCGTGAAGGTCGTTCAAAATCAGTTGTTATTCCAGAAAATACTAACACTGTGCACAAATCGATATTGCAAGATCATCATTACCTATCATGAGATTTGAACAAGTATATTCATGGGTGGGACCGGTAAACATTCAATATTGCCCGAACATTGGACTTTAAACAAAACTTGTTCACGTGTTCATCAAGAGCTCAAACAAATGCTCGTGCCGATTGGTCGAGAGAAATTTTAACAAAATACGATGGCTCAAAACACGTCTATGACTTCGTGATAAGTGATGTATCGTTAATTTACACCTACGCACCCAAAAGTAAACAGCAGTCGACTGTATGGGACCAAGATGACGCGAATCCTACAAAATTTATTCACGCACGAAGCACTTCCAAGCAAATCGTTCTCTGTTTTTTTTTTTTGCTTTTTTTTCAAACTGAACATGTCGCAACCACAGCTACTACAGCAGTAAATTATGAGTCGTACATAATCATTTGTTTGCCATTTGTCTTTCAGGATATCAGGAAAGGCAACTGCCAAAAACAGATCACTCTTCACCACGACAATGCAAACGCTCAAACCACGATTGAAACATCTACATTTTTGAACACTCAAAACAGCATTTTGAGGAGTCATGGACTATGGACAATGCCCCGACTATTGTACAATTTTAAGATCGCCACCAATAAGGTCCTTCCATATCAAAGAGGCCGTGAAATTTAAAGCATCTGACATATTGCTTTTTCAGTAGTTGTCAACCCAATCGTTTTACAGGGTCGGAGCGTGGTTATCACCTGATTTCACCGGTAATGCGTATGAAAAGGAGATAATGGTGCTTCTTCTCAGCAGGTATGGTTTAAGTATCTTTAATGGTTTGTGAGGTATTCCCAGACAGTCACCCGGAAATCAATTCGTTTTGTCATCTTTATAATTTATATGTACTATTTTATATAGACTGCATTATGAAAATCAACAACTGGCCCGATACTCACCATGTGCCAAATGTTGGTAAAAATCCTTCGTCGATTGCAAAGCTGCTTTCGATAGCTCGAAAAGGAGCTGCCTTTATGCCGCTAGCTCTAAATGTGGTATCCTCGAGAAACTAATATGACTGTGTAAACTGACGTTGAGCAATACTAAAAGCTCCGCTGGCTAGGTTATATCGTCCGAATGGACAAAAGCACTCCAGCTCTGAAAGTATTCCAGGCCGCCGGGAAGCAGAGGAAGACTTCCACTCCGTTGAAAAGACCAAGTGGAGAAGAATCTGGCTTCACTGGGAAGCTTGAATTGGCGCCAAAGAGCGAAAAGAAAGAGAGACTGGCGCACTGTCGTAAACTAGGCCACCGTAAGCATTATCTGCGCCAATAAAGACGAAGACGATGTAACTCCATATCTATCCCGATTAGGTTTAGGTGAACAAAACTATTATACTCTGTAGCAATATGTTGCGATAGAGTAAACACTGGAAGGTCGACTTCAAATTTCAGCTAACTTGGTGGATTGAAATACAGCACAATAATCCATAATTTGACTTTTTAGTTTGCAGCTGCGATTTCATATCATAGTTTCAAATCAATAAGTTTCAAACAAACTGAACTAAAGCAAAAGTCAACGATGCTCCGCTTTATACGCTTTCTACAGCATTGTGGATCGGAACTATTGATAGCTGCACCCTCAATTCTTTGTAAGCAGTCGCAGTATGTGTACAACAGATGCCAGTTAAGGTGCAGTTGACATATGGGTAAGCAAATCTTATATACAAATTTTTCACGTTCATTCATTTCATTTTTATTTATTGAACATTATTTTTCGGAACACTCTTGCCTCGTTGAAAAGACCCTTCAAAAATCCACCCATCGATTTTGAACAGATCCAATCCGATTAAGCGGGAAATCCACAGCGAAATTGAAACTCCGAAAGCCAACATTACAAATCGATGATCAAATTATTCATAAAGCCTTGTCATACAACTATATAAATTTGAAGTAAATTAGTCTCATCCTGTACCTATTTTCATTTGAAATAAATAAGAGCAATTGTTTTTGTTTTTATGTTTTTTTAAATACATTTTGTTTTATTAAATCGAAAAAAACACATTTTCTCAAATCTAACCAAACATTTTTACATTTTTTCATGTATTATTAAAGTAAACATTAAATAAAAACTAATGACTAAAATAAAAAAAATTATAAAAAAGTGAACGAAATAAATTTAAGGAAACAAAAAACGTCAATAGTATATAGCATATATATATATAGCCAAAGCATAATAAACAACATTTCACATTGAATAATTAACTTCGCATCATCATCATCATTAGGATTATTTTCTCTTTTCAATCAGCGCGTCAAATGCACTTCTTGCTGCTTCTAAGCACTACCGTTATTGCGGTGAATACTTACAAACGAAAATACATTTGCAAATTACTTTGATAAAGCGACGAGCGCTCTCAATGCTTCAGCATACGTTTGTATGTATGGATGTGTGAGTGTGGTGAGCTTTGAAAGAAACTAAAAATGCTGTTAGTTAATAAGGGAATATTAATAAACTAGAGGAACGTCGCCTCATGCATTTTACCATATCTTTCCGTTTATTTCAGCACACTCCCACATACATACATATATACATAGAGTTGGTGAGCGATACATACATAAAAAGCGTTAATTTCGCAAACAAAAGAACAAATTTAACAAATATTTTTTAGCTTTCTCATAAATGAGTGCATACATAACATATTCATAAGGAGAGAAAGAGAGAGAGAGAGAGAAAGACGGAAGGAGAAGTTCGCGCATTCTCATTTACATCGATTTTATACATAAATTATATATCTAAGAGTATTTTTTGTCTTTTCTTTACTTCTTCTTCTTCTTCTACATCTGGTTCTTATTCTTCATTACAATCTCTTTCTCTACATTACTGTCTTGACTTTTACATCTTTTAGTGCTTACAAGGTATTTTCTTATTTTTTTATTTTTGTTGTTGTTACTATAAATAAACATTGTAAGGACATGAACACAAAATCGGGAACTGGACGTATGGAGCCGGTACGGAATCAGGATCGGGATGCCAGGATATGCTTTTTACGCTTGGTAATGAGGATCAGGAGGTGTTATAAGGACGGGAGCGGGCACGTAGCGTGTTGCTTTGGACGGGGGAACGCATAAGGAAATGGACCAACTGCCAGGCACGTCATATGCAGGAACGGTACCGGTATTACATGCAAAGGCCAGCAGTGTGTCCGCTTAAGGAACACCAGCTGACCTGACTGAGCAAGCAACAAGCGTTTGTTGGGATGTGCGGAGAGGATGTAGGATAACGGGACATTGTTGGCTGTCGATTGCTGTGGTTGACGTTCTCTTTTGCTAACGGACGGCGTTATTTCATATGGTATCCGTGGATAACTTATTTTGTCATTCCTAAATTGGAGAGGATTTCTTGTTGGATGTTTGTGAGTATGTAGATGACAAATTGTAGTATAACGTCATTAACGTCGTTCGTCATAACGTCTATTTAGTCTTTCTTTTCTTCGACCACAACAGTTGGCGTCGGTTCTGCGATCTTTTCGCTTTCTGACGCGACTTTAACATCTTCGTTTGTCGTTACTGTCGTCGTTGCAGTCGCTTCGCCAACCAACGCTACCGGTTCGGCTGTCTCCACCACAGCTGGTGTCAATTGCTTTGTTGTTTCTACATTTTCCGTGCTTGCTGATGTCGTATCTAGTACCTTATTTTCCGTCACTTTGGTCTCCGCTTGTTCGTCCGTCACTAAAGCTTCTACAGCTTTCACTTCAGCTGTCTCTTTCGCATTGTCTACGGCTACGGTTGCATTCAGTCCGTCACTAGCGTTCGTGTCTCGTTTCTTGTGCAGTCTGTCTGGTATGTTTTGTGTGCAAGAACAAGGGCACATGCATTGATCTTTACGTGCACCGCCTGTAATCTGACTAAAGCTAAATGGAATCGGTGCTGGTTGCACGCCCAATGGGAAGCTGTCGACATTCTGTTGGTATCTGTCGGCCGTATGTAACGCATTATCGTCGCATTGCTCGTAAGCTGATTGTGGTAAAATGATTACCGGCATAAATGCTACAATGGCACCTTTAGGTATCTTGTCCGGTGCATAGGACGCAGCATAACCTGGCGCTTGTGGAAACACCGGCAATTGTTGTAATAATGACATAGAGTTCGTTATACCGCCAAAGAACGCTTGGCCGCCCGATGCGGTTGCTGTTTGTGTTGTGAATTGTTGTTGATTATACAATTTACTATCCGACGTTGGTTTACCGAAGGACGAGGTTGTAGATTGTTGTGTGCCTATTGTAGTAGTTTGTTGTGTACGATCCGCATTGCATGAGCACACACGTTCGTTATTTATTTCGGTCGGTGGATAGGAGGGACGTGGCGTTTGGTAATTTGTAATGGTGTTGGTAACTACATTCTTCTCTGTTTGCCGGTTTTGTTCGAAACGTTGACCACCTGTGGGCTGACTGGGCTTGTAACCTTCATTTCTGTTGGTATTTGTCGTGGTGGTTACTTTCTCAACGACCCGCTGTCCTGTCGGATAGCTGGGTACGTTTTGGTTCGTCGTTGTGGTGGTTGTTACTTTTTCGACTACTTTTTGTCCAATCGGATAACCGGGTATTTGCCCATAGATATTAGTTTCCTTTTGTGTAGTTACCTTCTGTCCATTATAGATACCGGGTGTTTGTTCGTATGTTGCTGTGGTTACCTTTTGACCAACGCCTCCTTGAGTGATTTTCTGTCCGGTTTGTCTGTCAGTATTTGTGTTTGTTGTGGTAATTGTCTTGTACGGTTGTTCCTTCTCAAAAGATGTGTCCTGTCGATTGAAGGTATTCGTAATTGGACCACGATTTGGTGGCAGGTATTTATTAGTTTGTTGATAGGTGGCCGGCGGATTAACCGGTACATTCGGGTAATTCGTATTCGTGTTCGTGTTTGTGTTGGTCGTAGTTGTGGTGGTGATAGTTTTGGGAGGAGAGGGAGGAGAAGAAGGAGGAATATTGGTTAGAGGTGTTGTTTTAATATTATTATTAAATTGAGTGTTAGTATTGGTATTGGTGTTGGTTGTGGTTGTGGTTGTGGTGGTGGTGACCTTCTTTTGTGCATAATCATTATTACTACCATAATTTGGCACGAAAGATGTTTGTGTATTTGTGGTGGTATGTGTGCTTGTCGTGGGTGTTTCACCCTCCACAACTAATGATGATGACTTAATGGGTTGCGTTATTTTACCAGTTTTTGAGACGGGTGGCAAATAGCCGGGTGTATTCTTATTTGAGTCTCTTGGGCCACTTGGTTTGTATGGTGGTTGTGGTCCGGGTGGGCCTGGACGATCTGGTCCTGGTGGTCCTGGTGGGCCGGGACGTGTTGGTCCGGGTGGGCCTGGTGGTCCGGGACGGGTTGGGCCTGGTGGTCCAGGTGGTCCGCCTGGGCCGGGACGGGTTGGGCCGGGTGGGCCAGGTGGTCCTGGTGGGCCGGGACGTGTTGGTCCAGGTGGGCCAGGTGGTCCAGGTGGGCCATTTGGTCCCTTAGGTCCGGGTCCAGTTGGGCCGAATGGTCCTGGTGGTCCGGGTGGACCAGGTGGGCCGGGTGGACCCTTTGGACCACCAGGTCCCTTTGGACCGCCGGGTCCCTTTGGTCCGCCTGGGCCGCCTGGGCCGCCTGGTCCTACACCGCCGCCGCTACCTTTGCCGCCGAAGCCGCCTTCACCGCCAAAACCGCCTTGTGGTCCCTCTACGTGCACATATGGTACGGCTGGTGGACCAGTTGGACCTTCAACATGAACATATTTGCCCGAATTGTCCGGGACATATTGACCTTGTTTAATACCTGTAAGTAAATTGAGGAAATTGAGGAGGTGGTTTAGTTGATTGTTCGATTACAGGGTGCAGAGTTAAGCAAACTCACCTTTATAACGACCATCAAAACCTTCATAATTACCATTTCCTAGAGAGAGCGAGAGAGTGTTTGTTGGAGAGAAAGAGTAATATATTAGTAATGCGCAAAAATTATGAAAATAAATAATAAAATTTAATTAAAATAAATTATCAATATACTGTTAACTACGCTAAATACTTTTCTAAACTGCAGGTACAGTGTGTACAATAAGTCTACGCACAACTAAGGCTACAAGTTACTATTTTGGGAGAAAATCAAATCAAAATTAAATTTGTACAGGTTCATAACTACAGTTACTATGAAATACCTAAAACAACTACAATTACGGCATAATTAAAATGTACTCAATTATAATTAAATTTAATCATACTACTTACTTAGTATTAACAACTACAAGCTGTAAGCACCAGCTACCGGTAAAGCTCAAAAACATTCGGATACAATGTTTCACATATATCGGGTGATTTTTTTGAGGTTAGGATTTTCATGCATTAGTATTTGACAGATCACGTGGGATATCAGACATGGTGTCAAAGAGAAAGATGCTCAG